AATATAACTTCCATGAAATTATTAAAATTTATTTGTGCGAGTTTTCTTTCAACTATTTATTAAATTATACTAATTTCTTATATTTTTATTTCTCAAAAACATCATTTCCTTGAAAAAATTTTCAAAAAACTTTACAATAAATGATAAATATTTTGAGACTTCATACGATATAAAATCTTTTTTTTTTAGATTTTTTAGAAAATTAAAAAAATTGTTTAATTTATTTTTGTTTTAATTTATATCCTTCTTCAAATATTAATCATAGTTAAAAATTTCATTTTTTGAGCAATTTACAAAAAAATCTACAGTAAGTAACAAATATTTTAACACCTTACGTAATGGAATAATTTTTTGTCAAAAAATAAATTAAATAAAAAATAGAAAAATTTAATAAAAAATGCAAATGTATAAAACTCGAGAAAAACTAATAAAACAAAAACCTATTTGACTAGATTTTTTTTTTTAACTCTGTTAAAAAAGGCTAGGAAGGCTATTTTTTGCAAATTCTGATATAAATAAAAAAAATTTATATACTGTATAGAAAAATTTGCGAAAAAAATAGTTCGCTAATCATTCGTCGCGCGATTCAAATGTTTGAAAAATTGCATGATAGATTGCTAAAACAGTACAAGTGTTATCGGGTCTAACTTACAAATAGAGTTGCCAAATGTAATACCAACATTTCCGGAATATGTCAAAGGCGATATTCATCGTCAAAGGATGGTATCATAGTTTGTTTTTATTTCAAGACTGTCTTAAGTAATATCTTAAGACATTAATATGGCCTTCTAATTGGTTCGTGACTTCTTAAGATTGTACTTAATACGATCTTAAATATAAGATCTAACTACGAATACCGGTCAAAATGTTTGAGTTAAATTGTTAATTCATGGCTTATGGTTTATGTGAGAATAATACTAACTGAAAATTTAACTCAAATACTTGAGATAATCGGAATTCTAGTTGATACAATATTTCTGATAAAATCTACTAGAATTCTTATTTTTATCAGAATAAAAAATCCAAAAAATCAGAGAGAACTTTTTTTTACCAGAATAATTAGACATTAGAACTCTAGTCATCTCAATTAGAATTTTAGTAGTTTAAAATATCTTCTTCAGAATTTAGAAAATGATTTGTTCATTTTAAACTAGAATTACTGTTTAATTCAACCAGATTATTTTCTTTAGTGAACATGTCCTGGAAATGATGACATGTCCTTGATATTAGATTTGGCAATCCTACTTATAGCATAAGATAATAAAAGACTGTAAATTAATAAAAGTTCCTTTAATTATTATACTATTATTATAGCGATTGCAACATCAAGATACAAGTTATCAAAATGATACTTATATATATAATAGATTATATTTATCATAAAAGATATAAAATTATCGGTCCACCTTACATGCATTTATAGGGTTTAAAAGTACAGCTTAGTATTTTTATTAGAAGTATACCATAATAATCTATATACCATCTATCTATCCTAGTAATATCGATTCAAGACGTGCTCTTCCTTGTTGCAATTTTGATAGTTAATGTAATTATTTTCACGTTTTTAATTTCCTATCTCTCACGCCTCGTGTTCCATTGTATCTCGGCGCTGTGTCGTGTCAATACTTGTCGAGTGCGGTGTCCACGTTCTACGCGAAAGGTAGCCGCGAGACGAGACGTGAGCGCGAGTAACAAGGATAATCAATCGGATCCATAAGAAGAGGATAATCCTGGAAGGGACAAGATGGGTGCGCCGGGAAATATGCTGGCATGACGTGTGTATAACGCCTCTGCACGTTTAATCTATTAACGCGAGTACTCGCATTAATTGGACCATCAACCTGTTTCGCGTCCAGAAACGCGCCGTTAGGGCGCCACGAATGATCGGGTCTCGACGATGAGCCGCATCCCAGAA